GTGAGCTGTAATGCCACAGCACTCTGCCCAGGGGGACAGCTTGAGGCTCTGCCTCAAAAAAAAAAAAAAAAAGAATCCTTCTCTGGCCCCCCAATTTCTTGCTTTCTCTTCATCGTCGTCTCCCACTGTCTAGTGCCCTTGAAGGGATGAGGAATGGATGCATGATGGATAAATGGATGACTGACAGATGGATGAATGAACATAAGTGCCTTCTGTCCCTATAAAAAAAATTCTCCTCATTGAGACAGGAGGCAGCTACACCGAATCTACTATTTTCCACAGGAAAATGGACCCCAAATCCCTACCAGTATCTGATGCTGACCCAGGGGCAAACTCAGCTTGATAAAATCTTTCTTGGACTAAAAACACTAAAGGAAACTTTTGCCTGCCCTGGCAACTTTTTCCTACTTGAGTTACAAGAGCACATTAAAATGGGGATGGTTGGAGTTCCTAAAAACAAGCTAAATCCAGTCCCAGGCCTAATCTGGGCATAGATTTAAACCCACTCTGCAGAAGGTGGCAAGAAATAAGCTCTTTTCTGTTATTACCAATGAGAACAGATCTAGAGGAAGGAAGTAGATTACACTGTAGCAGGGATTTAGGTTAGAGATAAGGAAGAACTTTTTCCCTGGACTGGCCAGGTAATGAGGATACTACAGAACATATCCTCACTGCCAAGGCAGCGTGTGTTAGCTTCCTTTGTGAATCTGAGAAGCCACAGATTTCTCTGGCTGTTTAGGTGCCAAAGGGAAAGCGTCTAGAGGCAGGGGACTGGCCTTGTTGAACCCCTGGAGCCCCAGCTGACCCTAGAACTCAGCAACTCCACAGGCATCTGTTTACCCACACACTGCTCTTTTGTTTCTAAAGACCACATGAGTCCCTAACATATTGAGTCAGAAAGATACCACTGGTAAAATCAGCTGTGAATGAGCCTCTTATAAACAGTCAGGCCTGTGGGGAAGCCTTACTGAGGGCCTAAGTCCATTCTCCATGCGGTGAGAACATTTCCTCTCTTGCAGTTTCAGGGCAGGCCAAGTCTTTACACAAATGTCTGTGATTCATTGCCTTTGTTCAGCAAATATTTACAGAGCACATACTGTGGGCCAAGCCTTGTGTTAGGTTCTAGGGATGCAAGGGTGAACAAAGCAGCTACAAGCACTGCCTTGCAGAGCTTACACGTGGTACAGCGGGAGCCCAGGAGACCACCTATATCTTGAGGACCCTAAGTCTGTCATCCCTGGAGTTCCCTAGTTGGTTTCCTATGCCTGAACTGTCATGATGCATGTAAGGCCACCAGAGGGCACCAGAGGAATTCAAACAAGAACTATGCACTGTCTCCTAGTCCATCACAGTTGGAAATTTCACCTGTGATTTTCAAACCTGTCCCCCATTTTCCCCAAGTCAGAATGCCCAAGTTGGCATGATCTTCCAGTTTCAAGGCCAACTCCTAGTGTTGTAAGAATAACAACTACTGCACCACATGCCTACTAGGTGCCAGGCTTTGATCATTGCTAAACTTCCCAGGAGTGTCTTGATTCACATGATCCGTACCACAACCACTTACTTCACTGTTGAGGAAACCAAGGCACTGAGAAGTTAACATTACAATCTGTCCCAATTAGAGAGCCATAAAAGAAAAACAAACAAAATAACAAAAAAAGAAAGAAAAATAAAAAAAACCAAAATAACGAAAACAAAAGAAACAAAAAGGAAAAAAAAAAGAGAGAGAGAAAACCAAATTAGAGACAGATTTGAACCTTCATCAAACCGCCTGGGCTGCTTTTACTGTCCCAAGCTGCCATCCATCCATTCTCCTGGGCCATGCTGAAGCTAAGCCTTGTCCCCAGTCTGGACAACATCTCCCAGTGGGAAGGCTGATAAGGCTGGAAGTACAAAGGCCATTTCTCCTGGGGGGACATGAAGGAAGCCCCTGCCCTCACCTCTCTGTTGATGTCCAGGTCATAGTCCTGAGGTTCCAGGTCCAACTCAGTGACAGGCATGGCCTGCACTTTCAACCAGCCATTCTCCTCCTTGTCCTTCCTTTCCCCTTGCATGGCCCGTTCCAGCAACTGCAGGTCAAAATCCTGCTCACGCTTCCACTGGCAATAGAATGAGAGGGTTAAATAAAGTCACTTCCTGACTGCTGAAAGAGCCACACTGCTCCCCTTTTGGAGGGGCTTTCAGGGATGGGGTCCTTGTGAAGACAGACGTGTGACCCATTAAGAAAGAGCTGTGTGCTGTAACTCCACGTGCAATAAAGAACGAGGCCGCCATCCCCTTTATATAGCCTCTTCCAGACTGCTGATGGCCCTCTGATCTGTATGCACCCTCAGAGCACAGATCTAAGCCTTGGAGCTCACAATAGTCCCCAGGAATAGAAGGTTCCCAGTCTGGCAAGGTGAGCCCAAAACATCCTGGGACAAAGTTCCAGAGAAGGCATGTGCCCCTCCAGCTGCCCTACATAGAAGACTTTCTGGTTCAGGAGCCATATATGTCAGGTGCAGAAATAATCAAAAAACAAGCCCTTCAAGGTACCATGGGCAAGTGGAATAACAAAGAGCCTCTCTATCAGGAATTTCCAACAGGATACAGTAAGGGATATTGCACCACCCTACCATCTAAGCAGGAGCAGTATGGGGCCAGGGAGGCAAACATCTGTGTAAGATGGTATCAACTTGGGATAGATATCTCTAGATTAGAAAAAATCCCCTAAATTAAGTAAAATTGAAATGCTAAATCAAACACAATGTTTCCAAGGTTCTTCTACAGTATCAACTTTGTAACAAGCTGCACAAGAAGGAAAATCTAACCCAATCATTTTAAGATCCAGCCACCACTGTCCAGCTCCATGTTGTCTTTCTGTTTACCCACTGCCCACAGGCTTCTGACCCCTGAGCAGATTAGTGAGACTGGAACAGAGTGAGCAGAAGCAAAGCAGATGCTTACCCATCCCAGGCGCCCTTTTTCTTCTCCCATCGATCTCACAGAGCCCCATATGGGCACAAATGTCTTTGACACCCCCTCTAGTCCCTCCAAACCCCCCAAACTCAGAGCCGTATCAGCACATTTCACCCATTCATGCACAAGCTCTCAATACTGACTCCAAATCAATCTTACCACTCTTAGGTGATTGTTTTCCAATTATACTTTGAAAGGATTAGGGAATGGAAGTTCCAAGAATGAAAAATTAATTTAATGACTCACAAAGAAACACACATTTTCTTACATGCTCACAAGTGCTCCAAATAGAGACAAGTCCTCTTTTAAACCCAGCCTGATTGTCTTCACAAACAGGAAAAGTTCACTGGACTCTACAATGTATCCTGGGGAAGAACCACGCCAATCCATTGTTATTAAGCAACACGTTTATTGGCGTTGATGCAGAGACTTACACAAGTCTTTTTCTTAAGAGAAATATTACAAGGTATTCAAATTTCCATTTTTAGATAATCTCTACATTTGAGTCATCAGATTGTAAAAGGTCAGTATTATCCCATATGACATTTGCTTATAAAGTTAAAAATTACCAGCTTTGCAGCTTTAAAAGATGTGAGTGTTCTGGGTTTTACTCCTTTGGTGTCTGATCTAACAGCTACAGAGGGGCTCTCTGAATACATAGTATATTTTACTGCTTGTTCAAGTTATTAAATACCAGAGACACAAAGATAAGAAACTGTGATTGGACTAGAGAAATTATTTAATTTGGGGGGGGGGGATAGGGTCTTACTCTGTTGCCCAGGCTAGGGTGCAGTGGCATCATCACTGCAACCTTCTAACTCCTGGACTCAAGTGATCCTCTTGCCTTCACCTCCAGAATAGCTGGGAATACAGGTGCCACAATGCCTGGCTAATTTTATTGTATTTTTTTTGTAGAGATGGGGTCTCCCTAGGTTGCTCAAGCAGGTACCGAACTCCTGACCTCAAACCAATCTTCCTGCATCGGCCTCCCAAAGTGTTAGGATTACTGGTGTGAACCACCATGCCTGGCCTGGACTAGAGGAATTAAAACCAAACCACCTCAACCTTGGTAGATCAAACATGCAATCTCTGAAGTCTGTGCCTACTGACCAGTTGCAGGCATATGTTTTGATAAATTCATAGTGCCCAGACCTCTGCCAATGACTGTGAGTCTCAGACAGCAGGTTGTTCAGGCTTGTGAGGAGGCTTTTGGGACGAGTGGGTTACAAGTCAGTAGGCCTGCATGAAGGAGGGCAGCAGGAAGGTGAGTCACTTTGGGGATGCTTGCGAGGCTATGGAGACAGAGCCACTATTACAAGCCTGGTAACAAATAGCACAGGCCAGTTAAAGAATGTTCAGTATAAACCAGAAGCTTCTGTAAACACAATCAGGCAGGATTAGAGAGGCAATGAGCAGTAACACTAAAAGCAAAAGAGCTTGTGCAATGAATTAGGGAAAGAACAGTCAGGCCAGAGGTTTAGGGATATATACAACTTCAAACAACAGGAAAAAGTCAAATGGAGCATTTTCAAAAGGGACCTAAGGCAACTGTGGACAGCACGCAGCACCAGGAAGTGCGACCATGGGCGGCTTCCCCAGCTCTCCTGGGCACCCTGGGGCCTCAGCACCATGAGCTATGGGAGACCACCAGCTCTCAGGGTATCGGCACAAACCTGTGCTCCACTGCCCCACAGAGCACGTGCTTGCAGGGTTGGAAGGCTGGTCAGCTTACTTGTGCTTCTCCTCATCAAACCACATCACCATTGTCCTCCTCTCGTCCCTGAACCCTGAATTGCCAAGTCCTTAAGTCAACTGAGTGACTCGGAAAGCCTGCAAAGACCCCTCTTAAGCTTGCCTTGGAAGACTGACTGACTGATTTTCCTGGCTCCTAGGGCTCTGCCGTGAGATCCTGACTCCTGCTCTGATTCTGAGTCACCTTCCGACCATGTCACACATGTGGCCTGGATGGTGGACAAATAGTTCCATGGGGTGTTCTCTGAACCATCAAGGTGCATGAACACTTGCTCAGGGTCTGGCACGCTTGTGTTTGGGGCCCTTGGGGAGCTCTGATTAGCTCTGAAGGGAAGCTTTGTGCCCGCCTGCCTGGCCCCTCCTAACATACTGAGCCGATATCTCCGGGGAGTGGCTGGCTGAGGTAGCGGGACGAGGGCAGGCCTGTCCTCTCTCCTTGGCTCAGTGTCCTCTTGCGCTCTCGGACCAGGGCCTTCTGGTGTCGCTTCATGCGCTCAAGCTGCTCTTCCGCGCTCATCTTGCCCCGCTGGTGGTCCCCTGAGTACAGGCGCTCCAAGGCACTCTTGGGTCTCTGAGGACGAAGGTGAGAGACACATAGAGCAGTGAGGCTGGGACCCCAGAGGGCACCCACCTGCCGGCTTCCTCCCTGTTCTTTGTCTCTCACTCATTCACACTAAAATGCACACACACTTGAGGGAGGCTCCTCTTGGCCACAGAGAACCACTTCTTTTAAGCACCACAATGCCTCTGGCCCTCTTGAGCTTTCTGAGCAGCACCCCATTCCACAGATGTAGACACTGAGGCCCAGACCTGTCCACTGGGCTCACAGGCAGCATGTGATGAGGTCAGAACCCAGGGTACAAATTTAAGCTCCATCCTGTGAGTCTGACAGGCTAGAGGAAGGAGGGAGGTCTTCAGGAAATGGAGGGAACAGCAAGATATCCTTCTTAATGGGCAATAAGTGACAGAGACCCTCAGCCCAAGAGGGGCTGAGGTCACCTCACAGGCCATCCCTAGGGCTCCCGGGATCACCAGGCACTGTGCACTCAGAGCCCCACCCGCTGAGCATGGGATGAGGCAGCAAGCTCCCCGACAGCTCAAGGCTACTCACAGGAAAGGTCACCTTGCTGCTTTCAGCATTTAGACCCCTCCGGAGTGTGACGTAGGGAGCAATGGTGGAGGACTGCTGGAGCCTTGACGTGGACCCCGAGAGACCTTAGGAAAGAGAATTGAGAGCTTATCTGCGGTGGGGTGCACAGGCACCGTGCTTCTCCTTAATAACCTCCCATTCCTGTGAGAGGTCCCAGCCAACAACACAATCTGCTTTCTCTTCTTCCTCTCCAGAGCCTGGAAGAACAAGAACCTAGGTAGAGGATGGGGGGCCAGTCCAGGGGTGCCCTCTGTCTCTATGGGGGACAGGGTGCCTGCAGATCTCAGGAGTGCCCTAGGCTTCCCTTCCATCCAGGACACCCGGGATGCTTGGCAGGTGGACAGTCTAGAGAAGTGACCGTGTCCTTCATCCCTCTTCCTCCTAACGCACTCGTATACATCCTGCAGTACCTGACTCAGGATAAGAGACAACAGTGAGAAGGAAGCCCAACTGAGGAGAAAGTGTTTAAAGACAGTGCTCACTGAGTCTCAGAGTGACACAAGAGGGAAAAGCCCCTTGAAAGGCCTGAGATGGCCAAGCTGGTGGTAGTCACCAACCACCCCAGCCTACAGGGTGGTGACTAGAGGCTGACTCTAGAGCCAGGCCATGGAGATTATCTTCTAGCTTCATTACTGATTAACTAATGGCAAATTGTTTAATTTCTCTGAGCTTTAGTTTCCTTATCTCTACTATGGGGGTAAGGCTATGTGTGGTGGCTCATGCCTGTAATACTAGCACTCTGGAAGGCTGAGGCAGGTGGATCGCTTGGGCTCAGGAGTTTGAGACCAGCCTGAGCGAGAGACCTCATATCTACTAAAAATAGAAAAACAAGACAGGCATTGTGGCAGGTGCCTATAGTCCCAGCTACTTAGGAGGCTGAGGAAAGGCGATTGCCTGAGCCCAAGAGTTTGAGGTTATTGGGGGCTAGAATGCCAGGGTACTCTACCCAGGGCATAGACTGAAACTATGTTTCAAAACAAAAAGCCATGGGAGTAATACAGGACTTTCTTCACAGGACCACTGTGAATATTAGGTATATATAAAGTGCTTAAACAGTGCAGGGCTTTATAGTACTTGCTCTTATCTTCGTATCTAGAGACAGATATAACAAATGAGGAAGGAATGAGCTGGGCGTGCTGGCTGATGCCTGTAATCCTAGCACTCTGGGAGGCCAAGGTGGGTGGATTGCTTGAGCTTACAGGTTCAAGATCAGCCTGAGCCAGAGTGAGACCTTGTCTCTAAAAATAGCCAGGCACTGTGGTGAGTGCCTATAGTCCCAACTACTTGGAGGCTGAAGCAAGAGAATTGTGTGAGCCCAAGAGTTTGAGGTTGTTGTGAGCTATGATGCCACAGCACTCTACCGAGGGCGACAAAAACAAACAAACAAAAAAAACCAAGGAAGAGAATCAGGATGTGGGCCAGAGGAAAGTGGGCAGGTACTCCCTTCCAGCAGCCCAGAGCCCCCTAGCAACCACTCCCACACCTAGGCCCAAGCTGTAGGAGAAGGGTACAAGGTACCAGCCTGAGGGTTGGAAGCAGTGTGGGTAGTGATGGGTTCCCCATGGAGGGCCCTGCCTTACCTCTGCCTGGCAGCGTCTGGTACCTGTTCTCAGGGCCCACAAGTCCCAGGGAGGAGTGGGCCATGTCTCCGCTGAGGGTTGCCAGCTCAGGCTCACTAACGTATGAACGGAGCTCCACCTGTGGCCAGAGTTGCAGGTGATCACGCATGCCTGGTATCACATGACCCTCCCTCTCCCCCAGGGCCCTTCCTGCTCACCCTCGAGTCCCCGTTCACACACTGCCCCAGCTCCCGGTCTCGCTTCCTCTCATCTGACTGCCGTTTGAGGCCCCGCACAGAAGTGTGCCGGATGATGGTGGCCTCTCTTGGCAGAGGTGGCACGGCCGGGGGCTGGTCCTCTGGGCTGTAGAGTTCGGGGAGTGGGGGCCTGGGAGGTGCCTCATCTTCCTGCTCAGAAAGAGAACCACAACCAGTGCCCAGTGTGAGCTGGAAGACTGCCACAGTGGTGCCCCAAAGAGCAGGAGGAGGCCACTTTGGAACCCCAGAACGTGACCTCATCCAAGGAGCTCTAATGCTTTCCCTGGAGATGCTGTGACAAGCGGAGGCACCTCTGCTCCATCTCTATTCTTCCCTTTGATTCAGACTTTTTTTTATTTTTCAAAATGTCACCTCTATATACTATGTCCCAAAATCTAGAACTCAGGTTTCCTGGTGCCATGATACTGGCACTGTACAGAACTGCTTATTCTCCTGAATCAGACACTGTGGGGGAGACAGGCTGCTAACTCTGCACTTACCCCTAAGTTTATGACAGCAAGCCCCATCTAGAGAACAAATATCTGTGTTCAGTGTTCACTGAGTCTCCGAGTGACACAAGTGGGAAAAGCCCCCTGTGCTTAACCCGAGCCAGTTCACTGGCCCTGCAAAAAAATCTGAACCTTCATCAGACTGAGGAGCAAGGACAGAGTCTACACTCTCCTACCCCTTCCTTCAGAAATGTGCATAGTTATAAAATATTTCCTCCTTCCTGACTCAGACAGAATGGGCAGTCAAGATGAATGACTCATTGCCTACCACAGGGCCCACTCCCTAGACTGTGATGAATGTAACTATTTTCCTTGAAACTGCCTGTCCACAATGTCCACGATGCTCTCTGAGGGCTGTGGTTTCTCTACACATCAATAGACTGGCCCCTGATCGCCATGAACACCCACTCCTGGGACTAATGACCATCACGTCTTCCTCCTCCTAAACTCCCTTTTAGTCTAATTTGGCTTTGTTTTTCAGAATTTTGCAGAGTTCAAGAGAGGGCACCAAAAGTTTGCTTGGCAAAGGTTTATCAGCATTCTTTTAAAGCAATACACTCATTGATGTGTAAAAGTTAGGCCCTCTGCCTATGGCACCCACTGTTCTCTGAGGATCAGCAGTTTCCAACCCCAACAAGACATCAGAACCTCCAATTTCTCAAAAGCTCCCCAGATAGACAAACACAAAACACCAATTGCCTTTGAAGAGAATAGAATGTCTGGAGACAGACGGTGGGAGGGAGACATTTTATTTTACACCTTTTAGTATCTTTTATTTTTGTACCCTTTGAGAGTACTATCTAATAAAAAAAAAAAAGTAAATTCAACAAAACAAGTCAAATAAAAAGGAAAGAACTATAGGTACATGCAATGGTGTGGATAAATCTCACAAACATAATGTTGAAGAAAAGATGCGAGATACAAGAAAGTATAGAATTATATACCAGCATAATTACAGTATTCAGTAAGCCAACATAAGTAGTACAACTAATAAAAAAAAAAGGGAGGAAATTATTATCTAAAAAGTCAAGATAATGGTCATTTCTGGCAGAATGGAAGCAGCCTAGACAGGGGAGGAAACCCCAGGCTTCTCCTGGTTGCCAGCAAAGCTTTATTTCATGGTCTGTGGTCTCTTTATTATTATTTGTTAAACTGTTATGTGCCTGTTTAACGCCATCTTCAGGATGGATATTACTGTTTCGCAAACATGAATGTTAAGAACAAGTAAACAACAACAACAAATGGTAAAACTGTATGTATTTAATATTTTGAGAAGAAGAGAGAGATCCCCTGGTGTCTGGGTGCCCATCCAAGTTGAAAAAGCCCGAGAGCCACAGAGAACTAAGATAGGCACCCTGAGCCTCTGTGACCATCTGCACAAGGCAAAGTGAGGGGTCTCAGAGAGGCGGTGGAATTTACCCAAGGACACAATGAAAGAACAAGGACTTGAACCTAGGTGTTCCAGCTCCTGGGCCAGCACCTTCTCCCTCTGCTCTCTGTCCCAGCTGGCAGCATCCTGCTCTAAGTCAGCAGCTGTCTGCCCAGATATGCCTGCTCTTTGGGTACATTTCACTTCCTCTTTTGCGGTTGGTTTACTTCCTCTCTAGTCTGCCTCTTAGATCTGGGATTAGGAAGGAGATCTCAAGCTGGAGAAATTCACAGTAACTCTCTGTCTGGGACATGGGCCACACCCTGGGTTTAGCTCTGGGACCTGAGCCATGGCAGAAGGTAGATGGTGAGGACCAAGGTATGAGAAGACGTTTTACCCCACACTGTGAACCAATCTCACCTGAGGTCTAGGACACAAATAGCATCTCAGCAAGGCTCCTTCCAAGTCTTTGCTGGCAAAAATCTGGAGGCCCCCATTCCATGGGCCTCTCTGTATGGCTGCACTACACTTGGACCAGACTCGTCATGTCCTCCAGCCAAGGCTAGCCTGGCTCTGTAGAAGTGAGCTATCACGGCACCTGGCTGCATCTTCTAAGTCTTCAAAGTTCCATGTGTCCCCAGCTCTATGCCAGGCAAACCAAGGTGTTAGCCCAGGGAACTACATGAGCCACAGACCTGACCTGGGATTGAAGCTCCAAAGAGGTGACAGATGACTCAGAACAAGAGAGAATGGCCAGAAGATATGATTGGATCCAGTAATTAACATGGACGCCTTGAGCAAATTTCAACAACTTGGGGTCTTAATTTTCTTATCTCTGGGATAAGGATACTGCCCTTCTTACTCTATGAGGTCACTGTAAAGATCACAAGTACCCCGATCACCCAGCACAGGGCTCATCAGCAGATGAAGGGAAGCAAACGTTTCCACTGGAATGAGCTCACTGCCCACAGCCTTGTGCAACTGCACAAGAGCCCTCAGTAGATTTCCAGAGAGGCCTGCACAGGGAAGCTTCCTCATCAGCCACACATTTCTGTGCACAGTACAGGTCATAAATTTCACCCTACTCAGCACAGTCCCTGTGAAATGGAGGGGGACAGGGCCCTTCCAGTTCTGAGAGTCTAAGGCACAACAGCAGGGTAAATACATGGTACTACTTTATAACTGGCTCATGACTCAGGACTCCTTAGGACTTTGCTTGGTTTCATCTCCAAGTTTTCCCAGGAGTTTCTCTCCCTGGGGCAGCTGATCTGAGGGCAGAGAAGGCAATCATCTGGCATTAAGCTCCCAGTCATTACTACTTACAACTTTGGGCTTCGTCTTCGTCGGTGACTGAAGGGGGGATGTCACTTTCCTCAGCTGGGGTGGGTGAGGTCGGTAGGGCACATAGGGTTGTAGCTGAGGGAAGAGTCGAACCTCCAGAGGGGTCCGCACAGGGCTGGTGGGAGGGCTGGGCTGCGGGGGTGGCTTGCTCTCGGCGGTCGAGAGTGAAGGCACAGGCGGATGAGGAAACAAAGGCACCGTCTTCCTTTCTAAGGGTGTGGAGGGAAGGAAAGTACGGGATGGAACAAAGATCCTCTGCCTCGGAGGTTAAGTGGTGTGATTTAGCACCATGAAGATCCAGCCCCCCCACCCCCCAGGGCCATCCTACCCACCTGGGTTCTGGCCCCAGACACCCCCGTTTCTATGTTCTCCCTACCCAGGAAGATGGCCACTTACCCGGATTTTTGACTGATTCTACTAGGATCCTGAAGTTCTCCTTATTTGTACTCAGGCCTGCAATGACATCTTCAATCCTCCACAGATCCTTCTGTATCTGCGATTTCTCCTGAGGAAGACACTGTGGTGGTTCATTCACTGGCTTTTTAGCTTCTTATAAGAAGTTTCTTATCCTGCCATTTCAGACATAGCCCCTCATCCTGGGAGGCAGAACCCCCTATCCTGCCATTTCAGACAGAACCCCCTTGGTAAACCCCACCAGGGCTAGAGCCAAGCCTGCTTCACAGCTTCCTAGGGAAATGTGGATATGGAAAATGCCCAAGACACAGGGAGAAACTTCAGAGTAGCCTTCACTAGTCCAGTTATCTCCACCTAATTTTAAAACAGACTGCCTTAAATACTGTAGAATTCCACTAAAATACTATAGGAAATATCTAGAGTAGTCAATTTCACAGTGACAGGAAGCAGAAAAGTGGCTGTGAGAGGTGGGGTGGTGGTGGAGAGTAGTTTAATGAATAGAGTTTTAGTTTTGAGAGATGAACAGTTCTAGAAACTGGATGCACTACAATGTGAACGTACTTATCATTACTGACTGCACACTCACAAACGGTCGATAAGATAAGTTGACATTATGCATATTATACCACAATTTTTTTAAAATGCACTGTTTTATGAGACCATGGTGGAAGGAACAGGAAGCCAAGGACTAAGTTTGCAACATTCTTAGGATATAAAAAGCATTTTGTAAAAGTCAGAGATGGGCCAAGCATGGTGGTTTATGTCTGTTAATCCTAGCATTCTGGGAAGCTAAGGTGGGTGGATCTCTTGAGCTCAGGAATTTGACACCAGACTGAGCCAAAGTAAGGACCCCCACACACACTAAAAATAGAGGAAAAAATTAGTCAGGCATGCTGATGCATGCTTGTAGTCCCAGCTACTAGGAAGGCTGAGATCAGAGGATCACTTGAGCCCAGTAGTTTGAGGTTGCTGTGAACTAGGCTGTCGCCATAGCACTCTAGTCTGGGCCACAGAGTAAGACTGTCTCAAAAAAAAAAAAAAATAATAATATACACACACACACATACATAAAGAATGAAAAGCTAAGAAAAATTACTGCTAAAATTAATATGGACCCATTAATGTCCAAGAAGATAGGTCTAAATAACTTAATAGGATAGTTTTAGGAACTTGTAACTAGAAATAATTATTTGAAAGACTATGTTCACCTAGTATTTTCAAGCCATTATGCTAAGTGCTAGCGATACAAAAAAGAATAGTAAAATGTTAGCCAGCTTGGATAAAGGGTAAATGTGTGTGTGTTGGGGGAGTACAAACTCCAACAACAGCAGGAGACAGGCAAGGCTGGGGGAGCCTGTTAGGCCAGCTAACAGGGGCAAGAGTCTCCTCCACATGGTCCTAGACTGCTCCCCAGGAACCATCTCTAAGTGAGTTCAGAGACAGCAGGGCTCTGAGAAAAGCCACAGAGCCCTCAAACCTAACCCACTCAAGAATGTCCTTCACTTTTCTGGGGTGAGGCTAACATCTAAAGAGTCAACATATTCATTAAATCACTTGAACGTAGAACCTTGACTAAAACTGGTTCATCAGTTCCAAGCCCAGCACCCAAAGTGGCCCATCATGGAGCTTTATATAAAAGCACCCTCAAGCTCAGTGGCCAGAGCGCCAGCCACACACACCAGAGCTGGCGGGTTTGAATCCAGCCCGGGCCTGTGGTGGGCACTTGGGAGGCTGAGGCAAGAGACTTGCTTAAGCCCAAGAGTTTGTTGTTGCTGTGAGCTGTGACGCCGGGACACTCTACCGAGGGCAACATAGTGAGACTCTGTCTCAAAAATAAATAAATAAATATCAGCCTCAATTAATGCTTGCTGAATTCAAATACCTTATACAATTTTGAGGGTGGGGTGGAAACCTGGTTGGGCACCACAATGGGGAACACTGGGCAGCCGGGGCCCCATCTGGAAGCAGAGAAAGCACACAGTACCTTTCATTGTCTTACTTTTTGGGGACAGAGGTAGCTATCAATGGGGTGGCCTGATTTTTAGGGGTAAGGAGGCAGAGTCCTAAGGCTGCTTTCCCAAATGGAGCAGGGGCCATGGAGATTGGTATCACTGGACTGGGCTTCCAGAAATGCAAATGACCACCTGGAGACTAGAGGCACCTCAATGCACTGAATTCATACTACCTCCTCAGGCAAAAGTCAGATAACTTCTATCTTCAGGAATCAGAGGTGAGAAGGAGGTGGAGATTTCCGACTGCTAAAGAAGAAGGTGGAAAACAAAATGGGGCCAAGAACCACAGGAAAACAAAGCACTCGCAAGTCTCTGTAAGGTTCTCAAGACTGATATTTGTCTTCTCTTGGGTCTGTTTCTCCAAATGATCAGAAGTAAATTTCTTAGATACCCAAGAGCTTGTCTTTGAGAAAGGTGAATCAGGGGAGCTGGGATGAGGTTTCTCATCACAGCCTGGCTGGGGAACAGGCTCCATAAAGGAGAGCTTGGGGTGGACTCTTTACAGGGGTGGTGAGTCCAGGGCCAAGAAGGAGGAGGCCTCTGAGTAGTGCTCACAACCCCCACAGGTGAAGGCTCTCAGAAAAAAACAGAGTTCACAAAGGATGAATAGGCCTTAGCTCACCTGGAAAAAAAAGGCTCTCCTGTGTTGCTCTTGTAGAGTCTGCTTCAGCTGCTCCACGTCACTCTCCAACTTCAAGTATTCGTTCCAAGCATTTTCCATCTCCTGTTGGCCAAGGAAATGCTTCTGGTTGTTAATTTTCCCTGCCCCCTGCCCTCACTGGCTTCATGAGCCCCTGTGCTCCCAACCATGTAGACCCATATAGGGAAAGAGAGGAAAGGACATAGTAAACCTGGAGCAGGCGGTGGGGGACAGACAGGAGTGAGAGGGAGTGTGGCATCTTCTCATTCATGCTCTGACCCTGGCTCCCTGCACTGGACCGTATTCTACCCTTGGAATGCTTTGTTTCCCAGCCCTGGCAGAAAGGCCTGTATCAGCTCGGCGCCTGTGGCTCAAGCGGCTAAGACGCCAGCCACATACACCTAAGGTGGCAGGTTCGAATCCCCAGCCCGGGCCCGCCAAACAACAATGATGGCTGCAACCAAAAAATGGCCAGGCGTTGT